GTGACTTTGGACAACTTATTTAAGCCATTTCTTCCTCTATCAAATATCTGTTATGCAACAGCTATCAGGATTCCAGAACAAAAATGTATAAAATATCTGACAAATGCCTGACACATAACAAGATCTCAGTAAATATTTGCTAGTTATTTTATATATGCCTGACACTACATTTTTACTATATAACCTTGTAATATACAAGGACCAAAATATAAGTGAAAGGGGGCTGGGGATTTAGCTCAGCGGCACAGCGCCTGCCTGGCAAGCGCAAGGTCGTGAGTTCAGTTCCCAGTACCGGAAAAAAAAAACAAAAAAACAGACAAACAAAATATAAGTGAAAAATATTGAAATGAGTTTAATAACTCAACAGACAGAAATGTTTTTCCACTGCATTATAAAGACATCACCTACAATATCCAATATAATTATATCATTACCATTTAAATTTTATAAAGGACTATAATATTTTAGAACTCTTCATAAATTCTTTCATTTGTAGATAATAATTTCAAATCAAATATTAAAATTTAACATCTATGATTTAAATTTAATATATTATAAAAACAATTAAAACTTAATTAAATAAAACCCACAGAAGAAAATTACTTTTTCAAAAGATACCCTTAGCATTAAATTGTGTATCATGAATATATCAAACCAACTATGTTTTAAAGTGTCTCCACGGTTAGAAAATTTAAATTGGAGGTCAAAATATTTTCTTTCTAGATTCTTACTTAAATTTAGCCTTGAGATAAGTGAGTCAAACCACTTGTACTACCATGCATTGTCCACTTTGAATATAACTTGGAAAGTAAACTGTGGAAATACAATAAATTAGTTCAATTCTAATCTTAACTGTTTCTACCATCGTATTAAACCTTAAAATTCCTGCATCTCAAAAACAGTAAAAATAGCAGCCTATTTTTTAAAATGCCATTTTTCAGTTATTGCATTATTATTAGGAATAATAATAATAATAATTAGAAATATACTAAAAACATTAAAACAAAAGTATCAGTGGTGAAATTTTATAATGCATAAAGGCAGTGAAATCTCCAATATCACTATATCTGATGTTCTTTAAAGACAAGGGAAAAGATGAGCTCTAAAAACTTCCTATACTCCTGCTACAAATGAAACTCAGGAATTACTTCATGCATGAAATATTTATGGTTGATATTTTTAATTCTGTCCAAGTACATCACTCGTGTAAGACCCATATTAGTATTAAGATTATTTTTGCCATGAACTTAACAGATCATCAACAAAGACACTAAAAACCATCAAAACCATTGGATGCTCAAACAAGAAATGTGGAAGTCATCCCTCACTTCCTGAGTCCAATCCATTACAAAGTTCTCTCCCTTTTACCCCAACAGATATATCTCGATATCTACACACAGTCCTAATTAGTTGTCTTAACCCAAGCCACCATCAAATACCATGAAGAAGAGTGCCAAAGCTTCATCCTTGTTCCATTCCAATCCACTCCACACAGTAACCAAAATGCTGGCCATAACTGTAAGTAGGATTAAGTCACTGCCCTGCCTAAAGTCTTCAACGGCTTCCACTGAAAAGCCAACTCTTGTGTGCTCTGTCACTGACCATTCTTCTACAGTCTCCCTCCCCTCTGGATTCCATCTGTTCTTGCCTCTCTCCACTCCACCGATCTCTGGGCCTGGGCTACACTCATCCCTGACTCTCACACGGCTGCCCCCATCATCACTTCAGCTCTTCAAACTGGATTTATTTCTTGGAGTGTGTGTGTGCATCCATGTGTGTGTATGTGTGTGTGTGTGTGTGTGTGTGTGTGTGTTTGTGTGTGTGAGACTAAGAACTGAACCTATGGTCTTCACTATATCCCCAACCTTTTATTTTGAGACAGGTTCTGGTTAAGTTGCTAAGTTGCCCAGGCTACCTGAACTTGTGCTGCTCCTGTCTCAGCAGATTGCTAGCATTACAAGCATGCACTACCACACCGGGCTTCAAAGAGCTTTTACCTGTTGAGTGTGGTGGTGCACACCTGTAATCCCAGCACTTGGGAGGCTGAGGCCAGAGCATCTCTGTTAAGTCCAAGACCAGCCTGCACTACATACTGAGATTCTTTCTCAAAAAACAAAACAAAAAACCAAAGAGGTTTTTCTTGGCCTCCCAGGTTATTTTCCTTTTTTATCACTGGGTCTCTTGAAGCCCTTATCATAAATAACAGTTACACCCTTTTTGTCTTATTTATTTTTTTATTTTTGGTTTACTTCTTTGAAATCTGTTTCTCGCTTGGAACTGCAGCCTTCTGAGCCCAAGTTTCTTGTCTGTTTTGTTCACTTCTATTTCTCCAGTGCTTAAAACAGTGTTTGTTACTTGAGAAGTACTGAGTAAATATTTACCAATGAAGAAGAATGCCATTATTACTAAATTCTCACTTTGGGATACAAGCTTGCTTTCCCATTAAATTAACTAAGAAATTTGGCCATGAAAAGATGAACAAAGTGGACAGAGATTTTGCCACAGCTTTAGCACTAGGAAGTAACATCTCACATAAGGCAGGTGTGAAGAGTATCAAGTCTTAATCCTGTATACAGTGATTTTAAAATGATTTCCATGTCATAAGTGTGGAATATCAAATATTAAACATTAAACATTAAATTTTTCTATGGAAGTGTTACTGTTGGAGTTGCCCACAGAAAGCCCTTCTCATTCTTATTCTTTATTCTTCAGCATTTTTCATATGCCTTCCTGACATAGAACTTAATCTGAGACTCTTCTACGTTTTGGGTAGCTCTTTCAAACTTAGTACAGGACAACATAAATGAGGGTTCTAATTAAAGGGTTGTTTATTGATTAAAGAAACAAAGGAAATCATCTAGCAATGAATAAATGTTTTCTGAGTACAAATTGATTAGTATACGCTTTGCTTGTTTCCATCTAATTGCTTAGTCCTCTGTTTTATAGATCAATTTTAATTACTTAAAAAGCTCATTAGAACCGTATCTTCTACAACACAAGTATTCCTATAGTTTCAGAACATACATTGGATACTGTGTATAAATATGCTGTATATGTAAGTATGCATTCTTTCCTTGCTTTCTTTGGTGCTGGGAATTGAACCCTGGCTCTCTCAAATGTATGCAAGTATATACATATCCTTTATACATTCCCATAAAATTAAGATTTCTTGGGAGATATTAGTTAACCACTTTTATTATGAACCTATTAGTAAAAAATTTTGGCCAAATAACTTAGAGACCTCTAAAGGTCACTGCTTTTGACTTTTCATCGTTTATTCCTGCTTTATACAACTCTGGGCATTCAATATGCTTTCTGTGGACCAAAATTTGCCAGTTCAATACCATGCAGAATGCTCAATATTTTCAGCTCTCAATCTTATTCATTTTCTGAGATTAACTCTATAACCAAGAGGCCTGAAACAGCTGTTCCTTTCTTCTATTATTTAACTAGCACTTCTAAGCATCAGACCACTAAGCTTAGGTCAGTTAATAGTGCTGAAGCTGAACGTGAAAATAAATCTGGTCTGTGTAGCTTGACTTCTTTGAAATTATGGCATGATTCTGGGAATAACAGACATGAAAAAGCTTATTTCACTTGTAAATCACATGCAATGCCAAAATAAACATCACCTCAATTCACCCTTGTAACCATTAAAAAATATCTTATTGCCTGCACAGAAATGTGGCAATCCTGCAAAAATGATGTAATTCTGACCTAAATCAAAATAAATAGAAATATGTTATATATGCCTAAACATAAAACTCAAGGACATACAAATAGCTACAGTGTTTTAAGTATGTATACATTAATAAAAATTTAAGAAAATGGTGATAAGCAAACACGGAGTATACAGAACTCACTATAGCAAACATTATCTCCATTAGCATGGGTGCTATCTGATCCCATTAGCAGGTAAGCTCCTGGAGGACACAAAGACTACCGTTTGTTTTGCTCCTTCAAATTCTTATGAAGAAGAGACTTTGCATACAGGTGCATATACGTAATAAATATGAATGATTAAGTATTTTAGGATAATATTAATAATCGATATTAACCTGTTAAAAGAAATAATATGATAAATAAAACACATGTTTATAGCAGGAAAACTTATTCTGAAGAAATTAAGAATAAATAAAACAAATATAAAACCAAACTTGTAAGGACTATAATATAATCTTTATGCCAAAATTCTCCACAAGTCACTAAAGGACCTTTATTAGGAATATCGGTTAAATTGTATTATCAATGTTGTAGAAAAATACATTAACACCTTAATTTATATATTAGTCATCAAAATATCTATGATTTTATAATAATTTAAGATTTTGAGCTATTAAAAAGCTAATTTTAAAATATTGATAGGGTAAGAGAGACTCCATTTTCTGTTTTTAACTCCGTATTAAGAGAAGTCACTTAAAGTTCACTTTAGCTGTAGTTCACCCCAGTCGCCTTGTTTAGTTATCAACTCAGCAGAGCAGTCATAAAATGGGAACAAAACAAACAGGACAAATTGGGAAGTGGGCTAAAAGTTAAACTGCAATGGTCATTTAGAATTAGTTTGTCTGACCTTCTGGGAGAAGTAAACTTAGTAATAATTGTGTGACATTCTTATAAGATTCCCCAAAATGAGGTAATGGTTACTATAAAAACCTACAACGTACTTAAACTAAAGGTGAGACCCAGATCGACACAGACATCTTCTCTGGCTCCTGGTTAGAGACTGTCTGTCAGACGGCTCCCATAAAGCTGTGTTTGTTCACGCCATTTCAGATTTTCTTATGAGTGCTTTTCTCACTGGACTCACTTGCTGTATCAGAACCTCTACTGAAAAACTTACTAAAGAAATCCTTACAGTGTATATTAATGTTTTCCCCACTGAAATATTAGAAATATCAAAATACCAGCTTTGCATCAAAACTCCAAAATTTTCTCTTAAGAATTACAACATGCTACAGGGAAATAATGAGAAATTTAAATCTTATTTCATACCAACTTACTCTGACTTTTGGCAAAACTCTTCGAACTGTCTCAGTAGGATTCTGTCGCATCAAAAATGGAAGATTTGCGATCACACTCGTTCCTTGGATATCTTGACCAGCACTTACAAAGAAAACACAAATTTTAAATTTGTAACTATAAACTCAGTTGGCGTATGATCGCAAAAAGAATGGATTGATTAATAGTTTTAAACATATCATTGAGACGTAAAAATAAAACCAGGAGTAATATTTCATTAAGTAAATCACAACAGACAAATGAAAATGCTAAAATAAGATTCTCTATAAACATGTCTTTAAGTCTTGAAACTAATATTAGGTAGTTATCTTCAAATTCTGCATCATTTTCCTGGAACCTGTCAATTTGTTGTACTTTATAAAATATATATATGGGAAAAATTATTACACTAACATAACAATCATAGCAACAACAGAGACAGCACTACTATCAATTACAGCAAATCATGCAACTTTCTTTGAGCATAGTGAATTACTAGTTTTAATAAACTGGCTCCATGAATTGCCAGAAACTTCTTAAAAGATACATACACACCATACTCAAAAATTTAGCCAGGTATACTTATGCAATACCTTTTTGACACAATATTCATTAAAGTTTTACCATAATACTCTCTGTGATACTCTAATACACTCAGTACCCTGAAAAGTATTTAGATTTTTCTGAAAACCCATTTCTACGAATTACAAAAGAAACCTTTGCTTTTTTAAAATTCAATACTGGGGATGGAACCCAGGGCTTCCAGCCTGCTAGGAAGCACTCTACCAGCTAAGCACTCTATCACAGAGCTATATTCCCACCCTAATCCTTTGCTTTTAAAGTATTTCTAACATGACATAAGTTCTACAAGTACTTGAAATATATAAAAACTATGCAGGAAATGACCTCAAGGGAAATTCACCTACTCTTAATGCATAGCAACTTAAATATTAATTACAAATGCCATAACATTTGCTTTTTTAATTGAATTCTTTTTACTTCTCTTCAAATGGAACTACTTTAGTTATATATACTTTAAACTTTAATGTATTTTTAACTTTTTAAAGTAACGTGTTTTGCTTCAGAGTTTTATCAGTTCTGTTCATAAAAAGCATAATGTGATTTTAAATGCAGCTCTCCTGCTGTAAAAATCCTTTTACCCTGACATAGTAAGGTAGGCTGTAAAATACATGACATTATGATTTTTAACTGTTTTTCTCACTATTTTCTAAGCGAATCCTTTGAAAAAGGATATTTCTAAGTGAATCCTTAATACACAAAGTTCAAGAGGAAAAGATAAAAATGTCAAATGTGAAATAGAAAATGTCAAGATGGGGAGAGAATCAAAACTGCACTTGCCTATTACCTGGGAAATCAAAGTTGCATTTACAAATACTATGTGCATTGGGTCCAATGGGCCCCCTAAAAGGTATGTCTATACTCTACTGCTGGAAACTGTGAGGATTTTCTTAATTTTAAAAAGAGTTATGAGATGAAGAGATCATCTTGAATTATCTGAGTCTGCCCTGAGTCCAATAACACGCATGTCCTTTAAAGAATCACTCAGAGGAAAATACAGAACAGAGGAGGCAGTTTGATTAGAGCCACCAGACTGTGGGGTATGGCTAGTTCACAAGGTGCTGACACCCTCAAGGAAGGAGGACTGCAGGATGTGAGGAAGGACATTCTGTTGTTTCAGCCCACTTGTCACAATGGCCTCAGAAAACAAACTAATAAAAACTGAAGAGGGAATATCTGAAAAATTAATGTTTAATATGACAATGGTTCAGTAAAAAGCTCTTGAAAGGATGGACGAATGGATGGCTAGCTAGAAAAATAGATGTTAGGAATATTTAATAATGAATATTCAGTGAATTCTATTCACTAACTAATAATAAGGAAAAAAAGATCATTAGTTCTAGTACCTCACAGATCTGAAGGTAAAATTATTTCCCAGGAAGGCAAGAACACAATAGAAACAAAGAAGAAACAAATAGAAACAAAGCCAAGAAGATAAACAGAAAACACAAAATAAAATGGCAAACCAGCTGCAAAATGTCAACAATTATATTCAATATCAATGGGCTAAACACAGCAATTAGAAGGCAGGGTTTTGCAAATTGGATTAAAAATCATAACAACCAAACACAGCCTATCCAGACCTCTTTTCATATAGAACAAAATCACCTAGTTGAAAGTAAAGAACAGAAAATGATTTATCTTGAAAGTGTGAACCACAGGAAAGCAGAAGTGGCTCCATTAATAGCAGATTAAGTAAGTCTCTGAGAAAATAAAATCACCAGAAATAGACAGGGATGCAATACAATAAAAAAATAGAGAAAATGAATGAAACAAAGACTTGGTTATTTTTAAAGATCAATAAAACCAACCTCTAGCAAAAATAACAATGAGAAAAAAAAAGACAAAGGGCACAAGCTACAGTACCAGTATCTAAATTGAAACAAGACAACAGTACCAACATTGCAGACATCAAGCGGATAATGAGCAAATGCTAAGAATAATTCTACATACATAATTTGATGATTTTGACAGAACAAGCCAATTCCTCAAAAAACACAAACTGCCACATCTCAGTGTGAAATACCTAATCTGAATAATCTTACAACAATTAAGAAAATTGAATTCATATTTTTAATTCCTAAAGAAATTTACTAGGCCCAGATGGCTTCAATGGAAAATTTAATAAAATACATAATGAACAATTAACACTATTCTACACAATTTCTTTCAGAAAATATAAGTAGACAGAATACTTCCTAATCATTTGATGAGGCTAATATACCATACTACCCAAAACCCAAAACCAAGCAAACATAACAAAAATAGAGCAATATGCCTCATGAGTATAGATATAAAAATCCTTCACAAAATATTATCAAATGAAATACAGTAAGATATAAAAGGAATAATTAGAAAAATGCATCATCATATCAATGTAGAAAACTTAATGGAATTCAATACAGGTAGTAGGAATTACAAAGTCAATTATCACTTACAGTCACTAAGAAAATACACCAACAAAATGTGTACTTGTATACTGAAAATTACAGAATGAAAGAAGTCAGGGATTACCTAAATATTGAGAGACATGTTCTGCTTGTGGACTGGGAAATTCAGAATAATAAATATACCAATTCTCCTATATATTCTCCAATATATAGGTTTAACACAATTCTTACCAAAGCCCAACAAGATTTTTGGGAAACACAGACAATATTTTTTCTAAAATTTATACGGAAAGCAAAAGAATAAGAATAGTTAAAATGATTTTGAAAATGAAAAATGAAGTAAGAGGAATCTATCTATTCACCTCACTTAATACATTATATAAGGCTATAGCTACCATGACTGTGCAGTATTGGTGGAGGGACAGAGACATAAATTAATGGATGGGCAATTCAGTGGTGGTAAGATCGCTTCCTCAAATGGTGCTGGGAGCAGCTAGAAACCCATAGACAAAAAAAGAAAAGGAAAGGAAAGGGGGGGGGGAAAAAGAAATGGATAAACCTTGACCCAAGCCTTACATTAACTCAGTGAATTATAATAAACTTGACCTAAACATAAAATCACAGGGGGCTGGGGATTTAGCTCAGCGGCAAAAGC